TCACAAGTGCTATTACTTACTCATTAATTACTAATTAATAAGTACTCTTTCTTTATTCTTGGTGCATGTGCAAGTCTGGAACTGAAAGCAAAAACCTTAGTACTATGTAAAACTCCCAATCTAAAATATATTTTAAATGAACTCTGTTTGGGTTAACAGAACAATCAAAAACAATTGGTCAAAATATGAGGATTAAAAAGATATGTTTCTCCAAGTCAGCACATCACAGAGATAGTTTCATAGTGACCTTTTTTTACATTATTCATAGTAACCAAGATATGGAACCAGCACACCTCTCAAGTGAATGCATAAATAAGATGTATGGTGGCATTTTGTTTGCAATCTAATAAATAAAGCTTGCCTGAAGAACAGAATGCAGAGCTAAGCCACTAGTTAACCACACACCTAGTTAAGAGCTAAGCCATTAGTTAACCACTAGTAATTGGTGGTGACAATCATGCATGGAGTTGAGCAAAATCTGTATACTTCCTCTCATATTCAGTGTCTACATTTATGATGTTTTTATGAAGTCAACATGAACTTTGAAGCTAAAGCAAATCATTGGCTACTTGAAATAATGGTCTAAGTTAATTCTGTTAGAACAAAGAGAGTTCTTCAATCAATAGGTAACTTTATACAATTTTAAAAAGGCTAATTAGAAGAAACAAATGTCACAAAATATTCACTATTTATTAAAGCTGTGGCATCACATTTTTTAAAATTTGAATTTGAAGTGCAGGAAGCATGACAACCGTTAGTTTAATTGGCTAAATTTGAGGAATTGCATCTTAAAAATAATGTATATACCACCAGAATGAGTTCTTTCACAAAAGTCTAAAATTTGTTAGTAAGTGAAGTATTCATAGACTAATTATAAAAGTTGTTAGATTATTAGTATAAAAGGAAGGAAATATTGAAGGTTCATGCATTTTTCAAAGACATTTAAATTTATTTTATGCTTGTAGTGTCTGGAACAAATAAAAACAGCCATAAAGCCTCAGAGAGAGGGTATTTTCCAGGGTACCTTTCTTTTGTGTTTCATCTCTGAATTCGCAAATTTGTTTTTTATTTTGCCCTTCAGTTTAAATGAAGGTTTTGTCCTCCATAAGAGAGATGCTTCATTAACCACACTTCCCTTTAATTCTATGCTTCAAGAGCAGTGTTGATTTAGTATTAACTCAGAGGTTAATTAATTAATTAATTTAATGATGTCACTCTAAGAAAAAGGTGTGGCACTATTAATTATAACACTGGAAATATTTAATTTTCCTAACTTTTTTTGACTCGTAGCTGAGGGTCTCTTACACACAAGCAGTTTACTACTGAGCTGTATAGCCAGTCCTTAAATTTCTTTCTGTTTTATTTATTTATTTACTTTTTTGGATTCATATTTTTTTGTTTTTTTATCATTTTTTATTTTAATTTTAAATAGCTTGTTTTACATGTCAATCCCAGTTCCCTCTCCCTCCCCTCCTCCCACACTCCCCTTCCCCCCCCACCCTCCCACCCTATTGCCAAATCCTTCCACATAGGGGATATCTAGAGTCTGTCATTTTACTCTGGGTAGGGTCCAGGCACTCCCCTAAGAATCCAGGCTGAGAGAGCATCCCTCTTTGTGCTATAGGCACACGAAGACTGTTTGTATACCAGGGATAGACACTTATCCACAGCTCAGGGCCCAGCAATTCCACTCTTAGGCATATATCGAAATGAGGCAAGTTCATACAACAAGGGCATCTGCTCCACTATGTTCATAGCAGCATTATTTGTTTCTGAATTTTACTGGGAGAAATATATTACAGATGTATTAGTTTGGCTTTTAAGTATATTGGTATTACATAATAGTTTTCTATGTTAGACATACTATTTTACAAGAAGGATGAATCACTGGATTTAGATTTTGGGATTTGCCTTTGACCCTAACAGAAATTTGACAGCTTGTCTATTTTTCATCTACAGAATAGACAGAAGAGCAAGTTCTCACACATTCGTATTTTTTTATTTAACTTTTTACACATGTCACTCTCAGTTCTCTCTCCCTCCCCTCCTCTCCAAACCCCCAATCCTCCCCACCCACCCCCCAACCCCACTCCATCCTCCCTCCTCTCCCCAGGGAGGGCAAGGACTTCCATAAGGGATTTTTCAAAGTCTGTCACATCATCCTGGGCAGAGCCTAGGTCCTCCCCCATGTGTCCAGGCTGAGAGAGCATCCCTCCAGGTGGAATAGGTTCCCAGAGTCCATTTGTATGCCAGGAATAAAAACTGCTCTACTCTCCAAGGTTCCACAGATTGCCGAGGCCTCCTCTTGGACCCCCACGTTCCGTGGGTGTGTGTGTCTGGATCAGTCCCATGCTGGCCCCTCAGTCATCAGTCTGGGGTCCATGTGTTCCCCCTTGTTAAGGTCAGCTGCCTCTGTGAGTTTCGCCAGCCTGGTCTTGATTCCTTTGGTCATCACTCCTCTTTGCAGCTGAGTTCCAGGAATTCAATTCGGTTCCCAGCTGTGGGTGTCTACCTCTGCTTCCTTCAGCCACGGGATGAGAGTTCTAGGATAGCATATAAGGTAGTCATCATTCGCATTATCATGGAGGGCATTTAAGGTAGCCTTAATGCCAGTTGGTGCTATTCTTGTAGATCTGTGAAGATCTCACTAGTGCCAGATCTCTCCTCCAACTTAAATGGCTCCCTCTTTTATAGCATTTCCCATCCTTCTCTCCTCTATTCTTACTCTGCCTCAACCTTCCTGCTCTCCCATGTCCTACTCTCCCCTCCCCTTTTACCCCTCTTTTTCTCCAATCTCCTTCTCCCCTCCTCATTTCCCCTCCCAATCAAATTAGAAGATCTAGTCCCATAACCCTTCTCTTGTTTACCATGCATATCCCTCTTAGGGTTCTCCCTGCATCCCAGACTCTCTGGAGGTAGGATTGTAGGCTGGCAATGCCCTGCTCCATGTCTAAAATCCATACCTGAGTGAGTACATACCATTTTTGTTTTTGTGACTGGGTTACCTCACTCAGGATGGTTTCTTCTAGTGCCATCCATTTGTCTGTAAATTTCGAGATTCCATATTTTCTGATGAGTAGTACTCCATTATGTAAATGTACCACAATTTCTCTATGCACTCTTCAGGTGAGGGGCATCTAGGTTGCTTCCAGGTTCTGGCTATTATGAATAATGCTGCTATGAACATAGTGGAACAAACATCCTTGTTGTATGAATGGGCATCTTTTGGATATATGCCTAAGAGTGGAATTGCAGGATGGTGTGGTAGACTGATTTCCATTTTCCTGAGGAATCTCCATACCAATCTCCAAAGTGGCTGCACAAGTTGGCACTCCCATCATCATTGGAGTAGTGTACCCCTTTCTCCACATCCTCTCCAGCATAAACTCAGTAGTATTTTTTATTTTAGCCATTCTGACAGGAGTGAGATGGTATCTCAGAGTTGTTTTAATTTGCGTTTCCCTGATGGCTAAGGATGTTGAGCGCTTTCTCAAGTGCCTCTTGGCCATTTTAGACTCCTCTATTGAGAATTCTCTTTTTAGTTCTGTACCCCCACTTTTTAATTGGATCCTTTGGCGTTCTGGAGACTTGATTCTTGAGTTCTTTGCAAATTTTGGAGATCAGAATTCTGTCAGATGTGGGGTTTGTGAATATCTTTTCCCATTCTGTGAGCTGTCATTTTGTCTTGCTGACTGTGTCCTTTGCCTTACAGAAGCTTATCAGTTTTAAGAGGTCCCATTTATTAATTGTCGATCTCACTGTCTGTGCTACTGTTATTATATTCAGAAGCAGTCTCCTGTACCAATTCATTCAAGGGTACTTCCTACTTTCTCTTCTAAGAGATTCAGTGTGGCTGGATTGATTGTTGAGGTCTTTGATCCATTTGGACTAAAGTTTTGTGCATGGTGATAGATATGGATCTATCTGCTGTCTTTTACTTGCCAGCATCCAGTTATTCCAGTACAATTTGTTGAAGATGCTTTCTTTTTTCCATTGTATAGTTTTAGCTTCTTTGTCAAAGATCAGGTACTCAAAGGTGTGTGAGTCTTTGATTTGATTCCATTGGTCGACCTGTCAATTTTGTGGTAATACCAAGCTGTTTTCAGGACTATAGCCCTACAATACAGCTTGAAGTCAGGGATGGTGATGCCTTCTGAATTTCTTTTATTGTACAGCCTTGTTTTGACTATCCTGGGTCTTTTGTTTTTCCATATAAAGTTGACGATTGTCCTTTCAGGGTCGGTGAAAATTGTGCTGGTATTTCGATAGGGATTGCATTGAATCTGTAGATTGCTTTTGGTAAAATTGCCATTTTTACTATGTTGATCCTCCCTGTCCAAAAGCATGCGAGATCTTTTCATTTTCTGGTATCTTCTTTAATTTCTTTCATTAAAGACTCAAAATTCTTGTTATACTGGACTTTCATATGTTTGGTGAGAGTTACTCCAAGATATTTTATGTTGTTTGCGGCTGTTGTAAAGGGTGATGTTTCTCTGATTTATTTCTCATCCCCTTTATTGTCTATATATGGTAGGGCTACTGAATTTTTAATTAATTTTGTATCCTGACACTTTGCTGAAGGTGATTATCCGCTATAGGAGTTCCCTGGTAGAATTCTTTGTGTTGCTTATGAAGACTATCATATCTTCTGCAAATAGTGAAACTTTGACTTCTTCCTTTTCAATTTGTATCCCCTTGATCTCCTTTTGTTTTCTTATTGCTCTAACAAGAATTTCAAGTACAATATTGAAGAGATATGGAGAGAGCAGACATCCTTGCCTTGTTCTTGATTTTAAAGGAATTGCCTTGAGTTTCTCTCCATTTAGTTTGATTCTGGCTGTTGGTTTGCTGTATATAGCTTTTATTATGTTTAGGTATGTTCCTGTTATCCCTGATCTCTCCAAGACCTTTATCATGAAGGGGTGTTGGATTTTGTTAAAGGCTTTTTCAGCATCTAGTGAGATGATCATGTGATTTTTCTTATTCAGATTGTTTATATGATGGATTACATTGATTCACAAATTAATGTCACTGTTTATGGAAATGCTACAGTGGGCACCCCCTTTGCAGCTGTCCAGGCTGTCGACAGAGACTTGGGGACCAATGCACAGTATGGTTACAGCCAGAAAGTTGCACAAGAATCCAAGGATTTATTCCACCTGGATGAGACTACTGGAGTCATTAAGCTTTTCAGTAAGATTGGTGGGAGTGCTCTACAGACACACAAGCTCACCATCCTTGCTAATGGACCGGGCTGTATCCCTGCAGTGATCACTGCTCTTGTTTCCATCATCAAAGTCGTTTTCAGACCCCCAGAAATTGTACCATGTTATATTGCAAATGAGAAGGATGGGGTTGTATATCTGAAAGAACTGGAGCCTATTAATACTCCAATTGCATTTTTTACCATAAGTGATCCAGAAGGTAAATACAAGATTAACTGCTACCTGGATGGTGAAGGGCCATTTAGGTTAGCACCTTACAAGCCGTACAACAATGAATATCTGTTAGAGACCACAAAATCTATGGACTATGAGCAGCAACAATTCTATGAAATAGCTGTTGTGGCCTGGAACTCAGAGTGTTTCATGACAAGAGAATCATTAAAGTACAACTTTTAGATGACAATGACAATGCTCCTGTTTTCCTTCAACCTTTGATAGAACTGACCATTGAAGAAAACAATGCACCCAACGCCTTTCTAATGAAGCTCTATGCCACAGATGCTGATAGTGGAGAGAGGGGACAAGTTTCCTATTTCCTGGGACCGGATGCACCATCATATTTTTCCTTGGACAGTGTCACCGGGATTCTGACAGTTTCTACTCAGCTGGACAGAGAAGAGAAAGAAAAGTATAGGTACACTGTCTGTGCTGTGGACTGTGGAAAGCCACCCAGAGAATCAGTGGCTACAGTGGCTCTCACTGTGTTGGATAGATTCATCAACAAAGACTTCAGCTTTTTTGTGCCAGAAAACTTTCCAGGATATGGTGAAATTGGAGTCATTAGTGTAACCGATGCTGATGCTGGGAGGAATGGATGGGTAGCCCTCTCAGTGGTAAACCAGAGTGACATTTTTGTCATAGATACAGGCAAGGGCATGCTGAGAACTAAAGTATCTTTAGACAGAGAACAACAAAGCTCCTACACTCTGTGGGTGGAAGCTGTTGATGGGGGTGAGCCTGCCCTTTCTTCTACCACAAAAATCACAATTCTTCTTCTGGACATCAATGATAACCCTCCCCTTGTCTTATTTCCTCAATCTAATATGTCCTATTTGTTGGTCCTACCCTCTACTCTCCCTGGCTCACCAGTAACAGAGGTCTATGCTGTTGACAAAGACACTGGAATGAATGCTCTCATAGCTTATAGTATCATAGGAAGAAGAGGTCCCAGGCCCGAGTCCTTCAGGATTGACCCTAAAACTGGCAACACAACTCTGGAAGAAGCTTTGCTGCAGACAGACTATGGACTGCATCGCTTACTGGTGAAAGTGAGTGATCATGGCTACCCTGAACCTCTCCATTCCACTGTCATGGTGAACACTGTCAGTAGTGAGAGTTATATTGAGAGTCTTTTAAGAAAAGAACCAGAAATTAATATAGAAGAGAAAGAACCACAAATCTCAATAGAACCAACTCATAGGAAGGTAGAATCTGTGTCCTGTATGCCCACATTAGTAGCTCTGTCTGTCATAAACTTGGGTTCCATCACACTAGTAACAGGGATGGGAATATATATCTGCTTACAGAAAGGTAAAAAACATCGCAGGGAAGATGAAAATTTGGAAGTACAAATTCCACTGAAAGGAAAAATTGACTTGTATATGAGAGAGAGAAAACCAATGTGTGGAACAATTTTAAGAGTACTGGTATCAGGTCTTCCTTGAATTTTTGTTAGATTTTTGCACTGAAGCCATCTGGTCCTGAACTTTTTTTGGTTGGAAGACTTTTTATTGTTGCTTCTATTTCTTTAGGGGTTATATATATGTTAAAATTGTTTATCTGTTCTTGATTTAATTTTGGTAAGTGATATCTATCCAGAAAATCATCCATTTCCTTTAGGTTTTATAATTTAGTGGAGTACAGGTTTTCAAAGTATGACCTTATGATTCTTTGGATTTCCCCTGTGTCTGCTGTTATGTCCCCTTTTTCATTTGTGATTTTGTTAATTAGCATGCTCCCTCTCTGTCTTTTTTGTTAGGTTTGGTAAAGGTTTGTCTATCTTGTTGATTTTTTTTCAAAGAACCAACTCTTTGTTTCATTGATTCTTTGTATTGTTTTCTTTGTTTCTACTTCATTGATTTCAGCTCTCAATTTGATTATTTCCTGGCTTCTACTTCTTTTGGTTGAGTTTGCTTCTTTTTGTTCTAGAGCTTTCATGTGTTCTATTGATTCTCTAGTGTGGCATTTCTCCAGTTTCTTCATGTGGACACTTAGTGCTATGGATTTTCCTCTTAGAAATGCTTTCAAAGTATCCCAAAAGTTTGGATATGTTATGTCTTCATTTTCATTGAATTCTAGGAAGTCTTTGATTTCTTTCTTTATTTCTTCCTTTATCCGGAGGTGATACAATTGAGCATTGTTCATTTTCCCAGAGTTTGTGAGGTGTCTGCAATTTGTGTTGATGTTGATTTCTAATTTTAAGCTGTAGTGGTCTGACAAGATACAGGGGGTTATTCCCATTTTTTGTATTTGTTAAGGTTTGCTTTATTGCCATGTATTGATTTTAGAAAAGGTTCCATGTGGTGTTGAGAAGAATGTATATTCTTTTTTGTTTGGGTGGAATGCTCTATAGATATCTGTTAAATTCAACTGGGTCATAACTTGTGTTAGGTCCATTGTTTCTTTGTTAAGTTTCTGTCTGGTGGACCTGTCCAGTGGGGATAGTGGGATGTTGAAGTCTCTCACTTTAAGTGTGTTGGGTTTAATGTATGATTTGAGTTCTATTAATGTTTCCTTTATGAACATGGGTGCCTTTAGATTTGGGGCATATATGTTCAGAATTAAGACTTTTTCCTGATAGATTTTTCCTATGATGAATATGAAATGGCCTTCTTCATCTCTTTTTATTAATTTTAGTTTGGTGTCTGTTTTGTTAGATATTTGTATAGCTACACCTGCTTGCTTCTTACGTCCATTTGACTGGAAAGTCTTTTCCCCATCCTTAACCTTGAGGTAGTGTCTGTCTTTGAAATTGAGGTGTTTTTCTTGTATGTAGCAGAAGGATGGATTGTGTCTTCATATCCATTCTGTTAGCCTGTGTCTTTTTATAGGTAAGTTAAGACCATTGATATTCAGGGATATTAATGATAATTGATTGTTATTTCTTGTTTGCTTAAGATCTGTTTTTGGTGGTGGTTTTGTGTGTGAGTTTTCTCCCTATTTCTGATTTCTGGTAAAGTAGAATTATCTATTGCCCATGTTATTTTGAGCATAGTTAACTTCCTTATGTCCGAGTATTCCTTCTAGAACTTTCTGTAAGGCTGGATTTGTGCACATCTATTGCATAAGTCTGGTTTTGTTTTGGAATATCTTGTTTTCTCCATCTATAGTGATTGAGAGTTTTGCTGAGCATAGAAGTCTGGGCTGAAATCTGTGGTTTCTTAGTGTGTGTAGAAAATCTATCTGGGACCTTCTGATTTTCATAGTTTCCATGGAGAAGTTGGGTGTCATTCTGGTAGGTTTGCCTTTAAATGTTACTTGACCTTTTTCCTTTGCTGCTTTTAATATTTGTTCTTTATTCTGTATGTTTGGTGTTTTGATTATTATGTGACGAGGGGACTTTTTTTTGGTTCAGTTTATTTGGTGTCCAGTAAGCTTCTTGTACTTTCATAGGCATTTCCTTTTTCAGGTTGGGAAAGTTTTCTTCTATGATTTTGTTGAATATGTTTTCTGCACCATTGAGCTGGGATTCTTCATCTTCTTCTATACCTATTATTCTTAGGGTTTGGTCCTTTCATGGTGTCCCATATTTCCTGGATATTTTGTGTTAAGGATTTGTTGGATTTAAGACTCTCTTTTGTCAATAAATCTATTTCCTCTAGTTTATTTTCAGTGTATGGGTTTCTGTCTTCCATCTCTTGTATTCTGTTAGTTATGCTTGAATCTGTAGCTCCTGATTGTTTATTCAGTTTTTTGATTTCCAGCATTACCACTGTTTTGTTTTTTATTGTCTCCATGTTGGTTTTCAGGTCTTGAATTGTTTGAATTGTTTACTTCATCTGTTTGTTTTTTATTGCCTTTCCTTGCTTTCTTTAAGAGATTTGTTGATTTCTTGCATTTTTTTTGGTTTGTGTTTTCTTCCATTTCTTTAAGGGATTTTGACATATCCTCTTTGAGGGCCTCTATCACTTTCAGGAGGTTGATTTGAAGTTCATTCTTTTATGTTTCATCTGTGTTGGTATGTTCAGGTCTTGCTGGGGTAGCGTTTCTAGACTGTGGTCATGGTATCATACTGATTCTTCTGTTGTTGGCTGTGTTTTGTTTATTTATTTCTTCCCATCCCGTGTGTTAGTGGGAGCTCATGGGGTCTCTTCCTCTCCTGGTGGGTTTGGGTCTAAGGATCTCTTCCAGTGTGTTCAAGCAGGTCTAATACTCCAGTGGGTGCTGTTGGGTCCGAGACACTCACAAGTACAGGGCTGAGACTAAAGGGGACTGAAGACTCAAGCCCAGGACAGGGGCTCAAGCACAGAGCAGAGAATGGAAGGCACTGAAGACTGAGGTGTGGTCAGACTCAGGGAATCCTTTTGGGCAGGGTGGGTCCTCTCCACATTTAGAGAAAGCCCATGGAGATGGGAGCAGAGTGATGTTGGGAGTTGGCATCCAGAGCAGAGTCCCCATTCACCTCAAGCACTGGGCAGAGGGCAGAGGGGATTGAGGACTGAGGTGTGGCCACACTCAGAGTGATCCTTCCAGGCAGGGCAGGTCCTTTCTAGGTGCAGAATATGCCCAGGGAGACTGAAGCTGGGGGATGTAGGGAGTTGGGGCTCAGAGCAGAGCCCCCACTCACCTCCAACACAGGTCAGGGATTCTCTGGTTTATTTTTAAATAGTATATATATATATATATATATATATATATATATATATATTTATCCCTGGGTGAACTTGAGTTTGGGTTCTCTTGACTCAGCTTCCTGAGAGTCCATTGTCTTTTTTGACACTATAAACACTTAAAATTCTTCACCATAGCCAATGAATCTTTTGCATGATGAATGCCCATTTTCATGGTAACTAGCTTTTTAAAAATAGTTCAGCAGTTATTACTGATTAAGTCACTGGCAAAAGAAGTCTTTTTGAATGGCTACTCAACTACAAACAAGCTCACTTCCCATGGAAAAGGTTGCTCCAGAGAAGGTATCTGAGATCCTAAAGGGAAGGATCAAAAGCCCAAGATGCATCATTTCTTGGGATTCAGGTTGCACACCATTCCACCACGTGCTGATACATAGGTAACTGAAGTTCAGAACTGTAAGGATGATGTCAGTGATTACCTTATGCTTCTGTTTTTCCTGTTCTTTATGTGACTGTTTACCATATACTGTGATTTCTCTACCATCACTGCAGTACACAGCGTGCGATTGTATGTATGTGCTAATGTATGTGAAACCCAAAGGACTATTTGTTTCAAAGGATCATGGAGACTGACAAGAGGAATCTCATCTTTACGTGGACCTCATTTAGATTAAATGAATATGGTTATCAAGATGACTGCCAACTGACCATGATAAATAAAACTCTCCATCTGTTGAGTCTCAGTTTCTTCATTAAAAATTAATAGCAATGAAACCAGATCACTTCTAAAGTGCTTTCCCACTCTCTTAGATATTGAATCATCTAAAATGTTCTGTTATTTGTTACTCTCTTGACTGAACCAACAGCTGGTTACTTTACCTACGACACATACCTATAATTAATTGAGTTGTTTTAGGTAGAAGATTCACAGAGAACAATAGTTAAACTCTGATTTTCCTAAAATCTCTGTGCTACTTATTTTACAGTCAAGTATTCATTAGATGCTTAGTGAATATCAAGCAGTGAACATGACTATTTTTATCTATGGTAGGAGATGAGGGAAGATAAATTATGCTTAGAATATACTTTTTTTTGGTATTTACGAGACAGGGTTTCTCTGTATTGTTTTGGAGGCTGTCAGTCCAGCCTGGCCTCGAACTCACAGAGATCGGCCTGCCTCTGCCTCCCAAGTGCTGGGATTAAAGGCGTGCGCCACCACCGGCTGTGCTTATAATATACTTTATAAAAATATTTTCAGTAAAACAAACAAAAGATATTGTCTTAATGAAGTAAATTTGTATAAAATAAAAAGATAAAGTATTTTCTTTCATTTCACTATTGTTTATGGTAAATTATTTCACATTATTAACTTTTCTTAAATCCAGCTGTACCTCATATACAATCTTTAAGAATTACTTGTACTTATCATAACATACTCAGGAAGTAAAGCTTAATGTGGAATGAATATTTTAAAAAACGAACAAGGCTCTGTGTGGTGGTAAACAACTGTAATACCAGCATTTAGGAGTCAGAGGCAAGTAGACTTCTGTGAGTTTGAGGTTAGCCAGGGCTATGGAGTGAGATCCTGATTCTTTAAAAAAGACACTTAGCAAAATGAAATATACTGCCTTGCTACTGTAGCATGATAGGCAAGGGGATCTTAAAGCAGTGGCATATTTTAACTCTTCTAAAGTGGCTAGAAATTGGTTTCTAACTCATGGGATTCAAGTAAAATTCATACAGTGTGAACTGTCCTTCAGCAGACAGATATTGCCATATCACTGATACAAAAAAGACTATCTGTGGTTTATTTGTGGTAAGTGTGAAATGATTATTTATTTTATTCAAAATGTTATTTTAATAAAGAACAAGGA